CCAAGCACAGCATCGATATCCGCAAGCTTGACTTCCACCCAGAGACTAGTCATTAGGTGCAACTGCATGAGGTCTGAAAAGTAAACTCCCCCCAAACACGTTGTACTTGGAAGACGGCAACCTAGACGAGCCTGTCTCCCAGAACGCAGACCCACTCTCACCACAGGATCCTCCAAAGGCACAGCCAACAGAAGTGTGCGCAATTCCACCGTGTAATTTTTGTCTGGGGAGTGAAATATCTCCGTCATTACATTTCCCTTAGCTTAGCAATCCCTTGAAAGAATAAAGCTCAGAAAAAATCCTTCTCAAGGCCAACTATTGAAACAGTCTGCAGATTCTCCCCTAGCTTCTGTGACCTTGTACAGCTTTCACATCAAATTCTCTTTTTATCCTCAAAAAAATGCATCAAGGTAGGTATTCTTATTCCTGCTTCCTAGTCCAGCCCAGAGTTCCCTGTCCCAGTGAAAGGTACCACAGGGCAGCCTGCCCAAATCACGTCTGAGAGATTGGTTCCCTGTGACAACCTTCACCCCCCTCTCCTGACCCACAGGCCTAACACAAAGAGGCTGCCGGAAACTCCCAAGGGCTGCCAAGCGGGTAGCCACAGTGTCCTAGAAAGGAATTCCAAGCCCACAACAGAGTATTTCTCATCTGGTGTTTCTATGGGATTGAGGTTGGGGAGCTGGCGATCGTCCAAAGACGAAGTGGCAGAATGGTGAAATCATACGAGCCCACAGTGCTGAACCGTGTTGTAGTGGGAATGGGGACAGGCTTTTGTGTCAGCCAAAATGTGCCTGCGTACCCACTCGGTTAAAGATAGTGATGACACAGGGGCCAGCATTGTGGGGGGAAAAGTTTACTTTATGTATAATACTCTATTTTCTTTAAAAAGAAGGCACATTCATGCATAGTTACATAATTATAACTTATCTTTAAAAATCAAAAGAAAATGGTCATTGCTGCTGCTTTGATAGCCCTGAGGTTTTTTTATACCCTAGAATATTGTGTGGGTGAGGGGAGATTCCTAACATTCCACTTAATTATCTGAAACATGCAGCTCTCCCTGCCTATTCAGGTCAGCCAACGTGTGACTGCCCACTGCTGCAAACAACTTTCTTGCTTCTCAGGCCCAGAGCACATGTTTCCCCACTTCCAGGAATGCGGGAGGGACTGATCCAAAGAGCGTTGTGTTAGTCAGCTTTCCATCCCTGTGACAAAATACCTGAGATAAGCGATTATAAGGAGGAAAGGTTTATTTTGGCTCACAGTTCTGGAGCTTTCAGTCCATGGCCACAAGGCCTCATTCCTTTAGCCCTATGGAGGCACAAGGTGAAGGAGGCCTGTTTACTGTGAGGCAGCCAGGAAATAAAGAGAGAAAATGGAAGGGAACAGGGTCTTGATATCCCCTTTAAGGCCACTCCCTAGTGACTTAATTTTCTCCCACTAGCCACATCCCCTGAAGGTTCCACCTCCTTCCCATAGTACCACAGACTGGGGACCAAGCCTTCAAACATGGGTTTTTTTGGGGGGACATTCAAGATCCCAAGTTCAACAAGCTTGCTCTCAATCACCTATACCTATGGTTCGGTTAGGATGAATTGGGATGACACAGATAGACAAACACCAACCCATACCCGGAGACAAAGAGGTAGTCTGTGTCAGGGCTAGCACAGGACCTCATCCTGAAGAACTGCTGGAATTTTGATAGGGAAGGGAAGGGATGGACAGGCATGTGGCAGTGTGCAAGAGGAAGGAGGTTGGAATGTAGAACTCATGGTCATTATTATTTCTCCTCCTGCTTCTCTTCTTCTTCCTCCTCCTTCCTGTGTGTGTGTGTGTGTGTGTGTGTGTGTGTGTATGCTGGGAATTGAACTCAGGGCCTCAAGCATGCTAGGCAAGTGTTATATCACTGAGCACACCCGCAGCCCCTCATGATCATTTTTAATGCTATCCCCGTGTTTCAACACAGATTCCTGTCTTCTAGGATGTCTCCCTTATGCACACCTCTTTTACATCTGCATCAACACTACCCCGATCCCTGGGCATCTATCTCAACAAGAGACAGTGAGTGAAAACTCTTTTTCTTTTCTACTTTTTTCAGACAAAATATCACACTATGTAGTTCAGGCTGGTGTTGAACTTCTGGACATCCTCCTGCCTCAGTCTCCTAAATTCTGGGGTTACAGCCATGTGCCACCATGTCCAGTGAAAGCTTTGCATTTTCTATTGATATTCACAGACTTCCTAGACAAACACAAGAGCGGGAAGCAAAAGTGAGAGGGACTAAGAGATTTTCCCAGCAGATAAGAAGCGGGCTCAGGATGCTGGCCCCACACCCCAGCTGTCAAATGAGCCAGATGGTAGTCTTGGTGAGATACAGACACCTAAATCAGATTAACTCCCAGTTCTGGTTTTCTCTGTGTGTCCTGGGGTAACTTAATTTCTCTGTGCCTCCTTTATTTTATTTATTTATTTATTGTTTGGGTACCGAGAATCGAACTCAGGACCTTGTGCTTGCCAGCCAGGTGTTTGTGCCGCTGAGCTACATCCCCAGCCCTTCTGTGCCTCCTTTAATGTTTACTTCAGCGCTATCGGGCATATTAAAAGGATGTCAATGCCTATAACATGTCTAGTACAGGGCAACTCACTCAGAACTTCTCCCATCTCTCAGGAGTTATTGCTACTCCCTAAGTAATGTTCCTACTCTTTAAAAAATGCCTAGTATAATGTCCAAGACATAGAAAGTTTGAAACAGTCATTCACTCAGGTATCCTACCATTTCAATCATTACTATGCCCACAAACGTCTCTCATTTGGGATCTGAATTTTTGAGTCTGCCTGAAGGCTGGAGCCCATGGCTGGGAACTTTCTAATCTAACGTTCTTCATCAGAAAGGCTGCTCCCAATCCACTGCACACTCCACAATTCTCTGGGCTGCCTGTGATGGCTAAAGGTGGGAGTTTGAGGTCCTTCTGTTAGCACAGCTCGGGTCTGGGCAAGCTGTAAGGACGCAGGGTCCGGAAGAAGATGCATACTAGAGTGGGTCCCTTGAGCAGGGCTGGGATAGTAAGCAGCTCCTGCATCCTGACCCCACATTCCTGTGGCACCCCAGCCCGCTAGCTGCCTGCTGTTCTCTTTCTGGGTGCTGCCCTGAGCCGGCTTAGATGAGAGCTTGCTGCTGCATCTTGGTATGGCAGGGCTTTTCGCAAGATCTCCCACAGGGGGAGTGGCATGCAAGCCGGGTGCTCACCAGTCCTAGACCCTGCCTGCCTCACTCCTGGGCTGGGTCCCTGCTTCCCTGGCAAGTTCATCCAGAAAGAACCTCAAGTTCTCCTGGGACTCCCACGTATTGATCCTGGCTCCGCTCTGCAGCAGCACAGCTCGGTCTCCAAGTGCATCTAATGGAGTTACAGTGAAGGTCATTCCTCACCTAAGGACAGTGACACATCCTGGAAAATGTGCCAATGGGCAATTTCATCGAGTGAACAGGATAGAGTGTGCTTAACAAACCTAGAGGGGATAGTCATCTCCTCCCCATGGCCTTTCGATGCAATCAAGAAACACAGTGAACGGGACACATGGGGTTGGCACAATGCTGTGACGCACACCGCTTCCTAGAAAACTTTTGAAAAATTTAATTAATATATCTAATTTTCTGCCATGCTGAGGATCAAACCAGGGCCTTGCACATGCTAGACAAGGGCTCTACCACTGAGCTCAATTCCTTTTTTTTTGTTTGTTTTTTGTTTTTCTTCCGGTACCAGGAATCGAACTCATGACCTCGCACTTGCCAGGCAGGCACTGTGCCACTGAGCTAAATCCCCAGCCTGAGCTCAATCCTAGAATTAAATTTTTTTTTTAAGTAAAGGGTACACACTCTAAAATGGTGATAAAAAGTATAGGATAGCAAATTCAAAAGCCATTTATTAGCATTACCGTTTACGACCTGTACACGATTGTGTGTGCACAACTTTTATAAGCCTACTACTACTGTGTAGTAGATTTGTTTACACCAGCATCACCACAAAGATAAGTAATGTGTTGCGCTGTGACACTAGGCAATAGGAATTTTTAGCTTCTACAGGAGGCTTAGGAAGTCTCAGGTGAGGTCCATGGTTGATCCAAAGTCAGTACACGGCGCTTGACTGTATTTGTACTATGTGATACACTGCTTTGGCATACTTTTTTGAATCTATGTGTGGCCCTGAGATAAATTCCTCTTGCACATGTTAGGCAAGTGCTCTGCCACTGAGCTGCATTCCCAGCCCCCGTTTTCTCATTTTTATTTACCTAACTTATCACACCCAGCTTCTTCCTATCAAAAGTAGAAACACAAGTAGATAAACTTGCAAATGTTCTATAGTCACTTAATTCAACTATCCATTATAATTTTGGACATGTGCTGCCTTTAATAGAACTTGGTTTCTTTGAATCTCAAAGATTTAAAGACTTGAGGTCAACTATTCTAGTCATTCATAACTGTCTAAGGTGGTAGGTGCCTCCTCAAGAAAAGGCATACATTCTCATGAAGTTCATTTTGCACATAAATTTGGGGGGACAGCTGGACTCTTAAAGTCCCCAGGCCCCCAATATAGTTGAATAAACAAGGAAACATAAAACCCAGAAAGGCTAAGGTGACTCAAACTGCCGGTGAATTATGCTGTTCGAATTTGAACTCAGATCTGCTGTCCTAATGGCCATTTCAGGAGAGACACACTCAGGGCCATAATGCCTGGGTTCCAAGTCTGATTGTGCTGCCTATTGCTTGTGTGATTTGTGCAAGTTACGTAGTCCCTCGGTGCCTCAGTTTCATCGGCTGAAGGTGGGGTGAGAATGACAGGACTTCTCCCATTGCCAGAAACCTTGGCATTATATTAGTGTTTGCTGTACCCACTTTGCAATCCAGAAGGCCAAGCTCAGGAAAACAGGCACTGCACCTGGCCACCAAGCTCCGAAGTGACACGTGACTCTACCCTCAGGGTGTGACCCACAGCCTATAGGCTGAGGAAGATGCAAGGACTGCAAGTGCTGCAGAGGGGCTTCCCAGGAGTGTCCGGCCCCAGGAACCTCACAGTCACCGAGGGCTAAGCGTTCAGAAAGTCGCCTCCCTCTCTGGGGCTGTGGGCGGGGTTAGGAAACACTTTCAGTTTTGTTTCCTTGTCTGCCACAAAGGAACTCACCAGGAAACCTCCGGGAGTGGAATATGGAGGGAGACTTCCAGGTGTGCGGAAACTGGTAAGAAGCCACTTTCTGTAGCAGCCGGCTTGACGCTGGATATCAGGACAGGAGACGGGAGAAGGCTGCTTCTGTCCAGGCAGAGAAAACACCCAGGAGGGGAGGGGAGGGGTGAGGAGGGGCGGGGAAAGAAGCAGATCTCCAAACAGGCTGTTCGGTGCTATCCAGCTTCACAACACCCGGCCAGCTCAGCCATTTTGAGCTTTGGAGGTCAGCCCTGAGATTGAGCAGCCAAGCTAATTGTCCATAGAGCTTAGTCCTCACTTGGGTTTCTGGTATTGTGGTCTTCACGCCAGTCTGTGAAAGAAAGTGGCTGAGGGAGGGTCTCCAGGCCCATTTCATCCTCACCTGCAGAGGGGCGGGGCAGACAGGGTAGGGGCAGACAGGGTAGGGGGCCAGGACTGTAGCCTGATGGAGCCTCACTCTCTGAGCTCCTTGCCTGTGGCAGGAGCCTGGGTGGAGCATCCCCAGAGAGCTGTGCTCCATCTAGGTCTTTTGAGATCTCTGGTCTCTGAGCCAGCTGGGGAGAAAGAGGTTAGGGAACAGGCCAGGCAGAGCAGAGTGGAGAGAACAGAGGAAAGGGAGGTGAAGGTGCCCGTGTGCATCGGGCTGGGTGGCTCATTCAGACCAACAGCAGTGATGTTTCCTGTGCCGGGGACTTGGGCATGCGCCTCTCCTAGACATCTAAGGCTTTGGGCTACAGCGTCTGAGATCCTTTCACCCAAGCTGCCCCCCGCGAGAGCTGATAGAAATGAAAGGTGTCATTTCTTGGTGATGAGGACTGTTAGAGAAAAGTGCCCCGCCTCAGGAGCAGGAAACTTAGACACCTTCATTCATTAGGGCCTTCTAGAAGGGCCTTAAGCCCTCTCTAGTGGTTATCACAGGTGGGCCTGGGGGCAGGGGCCTCCGGATGGACCTCAGTCCCTTGCTTTGGAGGTTCTAAACACTTCCGCCCTTGCAGGAAGTGCAGGTATAGCGGGGCTGTGTTACTGACTGGCTTGGGCCCAGCAGGTGTACCAGAAAACAAGAAAAGAGATTTGGATAGTTGTCATTTCGTTTTTATAACAGCTTTATTGAAGTATCATTGGCATAAGCTGCACCTCTTTAAAGTACATTGGACGCTTTTTGATGCACATTATATACCTGTGAGTCCATCCCATGAGCTAGGAAATGAAGCTCACCATCACCCCAAAATCTCCCTGGGGCCCCCTGAAATCCCATCATCCTATTTTCCATGCTGATGGCTTCTGAAGAGCTTGCTCTAGATGTGAGGCCAGACTTCCTGTTTTAGGTACTGTTCTTCTTCTCCCTTGTTCTTGTAGCAAGAAAAGTGTGCCCTCTGCCCACTTCATCCTCCATGAGGTCCACTGCCTTCGGTTTCTGGCCCCTAAGTGTGAGGAGCCCGTTCCAGGGATGAAGGTGCAGGAGCAGAGGCACCAGCAGGTGAGCAGGTGGCAGGAGAGGGATCTTCCTGCCCAGCAGCAACTCAGGACTCACATGGCCTCCTGCGGGCAAATCATCTAGACCCTCCAACTTCAGTTTATGAAAAGAAAACACTAATCCTGTTTTTCTCTTGCTAAATGAACTCTACCCACTTTTCCAACTGTTTCTCTTTTTCCTTTCTTGGTTTTTTTTATTTATTTTGGTGGGGCAGGGATTGATACAGGGCCTCACTGTGTAGCACAGACTGACCTTAAACTCTTGATTTATTGCTTTGGCCTATTGGGTGCTGGGAGAGCAAGAGCACACATCTGGGCCCAGCTTCAAACCCTTCCTCTGCAGGTTTATGGGTTGGACAAGGTAAAGGGTTCCTGTTTCAAAAAAGGTCAAATGTTCTGAGATTCAAGAACAAAAGAAACAGGAAAGGAGGCCCCCAGAAGGCAGACATACTCAGCCAGTTTTTCCTTCCTGCTTTTTCATATCAGTCCCTCTTGGGTCTTCATTTGTCTTTCTGGAAATCCTTAAGCTAGACATCTGTTTCAATTCAAAGTGGTCCAGCAATGACTTCTTGCAGCACTGAGCTGGGTGCTAGAGGGAAACTGAAGTAGCCACACCTGATCCTTACCCTTGGGAGCTCACAAATCCCAGCCTGGAGCACCTGAGTCAAGGTGCGTATGGGGAAAGGCCAGGGCTGCAGGCTGCAGCCCATGTCTCTGTGTGTTTAGGTCAAGTGTGCGATGTGTCAGCAGAGTGTGGCGAAGTCCTTCCTGGAATTGCATGAGGTGAGTCAGGTGTGATCCTGGGAGGAGAGGGAGAAGGGCGGAGAGGCCACTCCATTCCTATCCACCTGGGCTTAGAGCAGGGGAGAACCAGCCACCTCGGGCACACGGGTCCTCCTGCATCTGGACGCTGGACAGAAGGACTTTCTGTGGTTCATGAGTCCAGGAGAGCTTGTATCTCTGGCCCTTCCATCACTTTCTGTGATTGGTTTCAATTCCTGGGGATGGGCTCATTTTCCTGACCTGTCCTCGGTCCAGTGGCCAGTCATCACGCCCTTCCTGATGCCTCTCACAGACCAAGGAATGCCAGGAGCGCCCTGTCAAGTGCAAGTTCTGTGAGCTGACCGTGCATCTCAGCAAGCTGGAGACCCACGAGTCCCACTGTGGCAGCCAGGCCCAGCGCTGCCCGCACTGTGACCAGCTTATCTTGCTCTGGCTGCTGGCCCAGCACAAAGACGTTTGTCAACATGAAAAGGCTCTGTCCACGGAAGGTGAGCAGCTAGGAAAAGGTGGGGAGGAAGAGGGAAGCAACGAGGCCCAGAGCCTCTCTCCAGTGGGATGAAAGACCAAAAACCCCCCAGGCCACAAAGGAGAAGGATATTCAATGCACATGTTTCAATTAAACTGGCTGTTCTCGCTCTGCACCACGCACGAGAGAGTGGCCTTCTTGTGTGTCTGCTGTGGTCTTTACATTGGGGGGTGCAGTTTGAGAGCTGCATATCCAAGAAAGGAAGCAATCATGAACCCTAACAGTGGGGGCTTTCTTTGAACTCCTCCAGCACAAACCTAGCTTGGTGAGAGCCACCTAAATCCTTTTATAGATGAGAAACCTTAAGCCAGGCGTGATGACACACACCTGTCATCCCAGCACTCTGGAGGCTGAGGCTGGAGGATTGCCGCAAGTTCAAGGCCAGCCTGGGTTACGGCATGAGATCCCTGTCTCAAAGAACAAAATACAGATACAAACTGACACAGAAAATGAAGCAGGGGCTTGCCAGAAGTGAAATCATACTGGATACTTGAGTTTCCCAGGACAAAATCTACACCTTTGTCCACCATTGTGATAGCTTGGCAGGAACCAGCTGTGACCCCTCCTGACCTTTGGGCCTGTGTGTTGGCCCCCTGATGTCATCCCCTTGTGTCCTAGTTACCTCTTCCTGGTGATGTGTTTCCTGAGGACACAGCCATGAAGACACAAGATCTTCTGTTGACTTTACTGGTTGTGGTGGTGTCACAGTAACACAGGGGAGAGCCTAAAATCCTTTAGACCATAAATATCTCCTAGTAAACAATCTTCCCCAAGTCAAAACTGGCCAGTGATTGGGGCTGGGGATTTAGCTCAGCTGCACAGTGCCTGCCTGGCATGTGCAATGTTGTGAGTTCAATTCCCGGTACTGGAAAAAAAAAAAAAATTGTGCTCTTAAGGGTCTGGAGATTTAGCTCAGTGGCACAGCGCCTGCCTGGCAAGTGCAACGTTGTAAGTTCGATTCCTGGTACCGGAAAAAACAAAAAAACAAAAAACAAAAAACAAAAACAAAAAAAAACTGGCCAGTGAAAACCTGGAAAATATGAAGTTTGTATCTATTTCTTTCATTCCAATTTGCTAAGATTTCGTACAACCAAAACAGTTAACAATACAACTTCAGTACAACACATCTTCACCACAACCTTGTATACAGCTGACGCTTGTTTGAGTCACAGAACTTGAAAACTGGTAGAATAAAAGTTTATGACTCGCTTCATCTCCTTAAAAAACAGCTCTGCTCCTTGAAAATGTGTCTTCAGCATTGCATGCTAACCTAGGGCACATGCACATGGTGGACACAAAGGAAAAGATGAGGGCGTTTGTTTGTTTGTTTGTTTGACTGATTTTTATGAGATAGAGTCTCACTATGTAATTCAGGCTGACCCTGAACTCACTATGTAGCCCAGGCTGGGTTCCAACTCACAGCAATCCTCCTGCCTCAACCTCTTAAATGCTGGAATTACTGGTGTGTGCTACCACATCTGGCTTAATGTGGTTGACTGAGCTAAGGGTTGCACATACAGCTGAAGATCCCTCCTGTGTGAGAAACCAAGACCAGGCAGGCTGCAGGCAGTTCATGCTCATGAATACCGACCAGGTGGCCAGTTAGGGGAGGGTTAGGGTAGCCATCCTCAAGGGCAATCATTTGTGGTGTTGTTTCTCTGCTTACTCAGGAAAAAGAACTTTAGTTCATGAGAGGAAAATCTACTGTAATTATTGCAAGAAAATAATTAAAGGAAGTATGCATAACCACTATACGGTGAGTAACAGTCATTTTCTAATGGTGCCAATATCCAGTTCACATACCCAAAAGTGTGATGTGGAAGGAAGATTCCAGCCCAGTTTTGTGTAGCACAGATCTTTTTTGCATTTTAATGCGTATTAGTACATATGCACTGTGTATAGTGATTACGCTCACTGTGGGGAGAAGGCACATGCACGTGACCTGTCTTCATTCTTTTTACTTCCCCTTCTTCCCCTCCTTCCCCCTCGCTCCACTAGTTCCTCTTCCCATTTGCAAAGGTTCTATCTCCATATTTTATGTTATCTATCTTTTATGTTGCTCTTTAAATTATTTATTTCTTACGTATATAAGAAAACGTGATATTTGCACCTTATGTTTGATTTATTTTGGTCTCAAGGTACATCCATTTTCCTATAAATGATTCAAATTTGTCCTTCTTTATGGCTAAATATACTCCATTGTATCTATATACCACATTTTCTTTATCCACGCAGGCCACATAGAGGCCACTTCCAAGATTTAACTCTTATGAGTTGTGCTGCTATAAACATAGGTATGCGTGTATCACTATGGTATGATGTGTTAACTCTTTTGGGAATATACCCATGAGATATATAGCTGGGTAGAATGGAATTACTATTTTTAATTTTTTGAGGAATCACCATAATGATTTCCGTAATGGTTGTACTAGTTTACATTCCCACCAGCAGTGTAGGAGGATTCCTTTTCCCCCACAGTCTCGCCAGCATTTATTTTGATTTCTTGACGATGGCCATTCTTTCTGGAGTAAAATGAAATCTCAGTGTTGTTTTAATTTGCATTTCTCTCATGGCCAATGATGCTGAGCATTTTTACATGTGTTTGTTGGTCATTTGTCTTTCTTCTCCTGAGAAGTGTCTATTCATTTCAATTGCCTGTTTTTTTGATTGGGTCTTTTACTTTGGGCAGATATTAAGAGTAACTGTGGTTTTTGTTTTTTGCTTTGAACAAAAATAGATTTTTGCAAATTGCTTTAGGTGAATTTAGCATACCTAATTGGTCTTTGTTTGTGCCCAGCCTCCCGCTCAAGGAGCATCCTTTACCAGTCCTGGTACCCCTCACCACACTTGACTGTCTCCAGCCTGCAGGGTCTGTGCCTTGTGATTGGGTACCTACGAGGACCTGCTTAACTGTTTTCTTCCCAATGGTAGTCTTCTTTATTAGACTGTGAGCTCTCTGGCAAAACCTCATGGCTTACTCCCCCTTCTAATCATAAAGATCAGGACTGGATACAAAAAGGGGACTCTGCTGAGCTGCAATGATGTGATTGGTTGATTGATTTTTGACTATGACCAACTCCCAGGCTTGTCCCTCCATAGCCCTAGGTGCCTTTTAGTGCATTACTGTCCCCTTCTTCTCTTCTTGCCATAGCGTCTCTTCAAGGAACACCTCTCCTCCTCCGTGGGCAGAGATGTTTACTTTTCTAAACTTCACTTCATAGAACTATAGAATATTAGAACTAAAGAGACTTTAGAGATGTTCCAGATCCTTGCTTTTTTTAACTAGTGTATTAAGACGCATCTAAAATTTGCCATTAATGCCACTTAATACATTTACATTATTATGCAGTTGTCACCACTATCTGGAGAATGTTCCAGAACATTTCATCACCCCAAAAAGAAACCCTACACTCATTAGCAGCCTCTCTTTCCAGTGACTGGAAGTCATTAATGTGCTTTCTGCCTCTGTGGATTTTCCTATTCTGGATATTTCAAATAAGTGGAATCATATCATATGTGATCCAATGTGACTGGCTTCTTTCACTTAGTATAACAATTTCAAGGTCCATCCTTGTATCAGCACTTTGTTCCTTTTATGGCCTTTTTATGAAGCTACCTACTCCCCTTCACAATGCTCAGATTGGCAGCCAAAGAAACCAGCAATCATTTGAAGGTGGCAGAGAGGTACATAGCTGTGACAACCATGAAACTGGATTTGTGGTCGGAAACCTTGAATTTTTGTTCTGCTCTGCTATGTACTGGCTATGTAAGCTCTATCAGCTTCTTTCTCATTCTGTGAAAAATGCGCGTGCATCTATCTGGGCATGGAAAGAAGGCATCCCCAATCACTCAACACCAGGTCCACCTCCCCACCGGCATCCACACACACACGCACAGCCTTCCCGCTATGTTGCTGTGTAAAGCCCGCCCTCATTGGTGCACTGTAGCCCTTCTTTCTTGCTGCACAAGGCCATTGCTACACTGCCCCAGCCGCACCCTCCAGCATGGAGAGGTGAATTGCGCTGTACACAGAGACAACAACAAAACCCTCAAAACTGTTCACTCTGCTGTGTTCTAACATTTTTCATGATCATGAGTTGTCAGAGAGGTAATACTAACAATTACTTATCTCAGTGGCACTATCTTTGCCCTGGATGAAAGACTTTTTTAAAAAATTTGACAGCTAAGTACCGAAATAATGTACATGAAGTGGTTTCATAGTTCTCAGTCTTTACATTAACATGACACCCTGAAACACTTCTCTTACATCCATTTCCTGCCAGTTATCATCTTCTTTTATTGTATTTTTTATCAGTACATATTTGTCAAACATATTGATCACATTCACCATAGGGAATTTGTACCTGTACATGGTATATCTTAGCTCTCTTTTTCCCATTCCCCTCCCCTCCCTTCACCCCTTCTTCCCCTCACATTTACAAAAGCTTTGTTTACATGTTTCCCCTCTGTTCTGTTTTGTTTCCTTTCCCTTCCATTCTTTCCCCATCCCACTCCCTTGTTCCCCCTCCCACTGGAACATGTTCTTCCTACTTCCCAATGTCTGCCCTCCGTTATGCTCGTACTCACCCTTTGGGTTCCTCACACACACAAAGCAATGCAATATTTAAACTTGTGTGTCCAATTTACTTCCCCTAAGATTATGGTCTCAAAGTGCATCCACTGTCCCACAACTGACTCAAGTTTATCCTTCTTTATGGTAGAGTAGTTCTCCATTTAAATAAATACCTTTTCTTTATACATTCATCTTTTGATGGGCCTATGTACTACTATAAACACAGATATGCATATTTCAACGTGGTCTAAAGCTTTTAATTCTTTCAAAAAGTTACCTAGAAAGGGAACAGCTGAGTCAAATGGAACTTCTATGCATATTTCAACGTGGTCGAAAGCTTTCAATTCTTTCAAAAAGTTACCTAGAAAAGGAACAGCTGAGTCAAATGGAACTTCTAGTTTTTTGAGGAGTGTCCATACTGATTTCCATGGTGGTTGTACCAGTTTACACTCCCCTCAGCAGTGGAAAAGGGTTCCTTTTCCCCTACAACCCCTCCAGCATTTGTTATTGGTTGATTCTTGATGACAGCCAGTCTTTCTGAGATGGAATCTCAGTGCTTTTTTATAATTTGCATCTCTCAAATGACCAGTGACCTCAAACATTTTTTTATATGTTTGCTACTCACACTTTTTCATCTGAGAAGTGTTTATTCATTTCAGATGCCCAATTTTTGGACTGGGTCTTTAAATTTGAGAGGTCTAATTTCTCTGAGTTTTTTACATATTCTAGATGTTAGTTCTTTGTCTGAGGAGTAGCTGGTAAAAATTTTGTTCTGTTCTGTGAGTTGTCTCTTCACTCATTGGTGGTTTCTTTTGTTGTGCAAAAGCTTTTTCATTGGATGTGATCCCAGTTGTTGATTCATTGTAATATTTCCTCTGAGATCAGGGTTTTGTCCATAAAGTCTTTGTCTATTCCTATATCTTCCAAAGTTTTACCTATTCTATCTTCCAGCAGATTAAGTGTTTCTGTTTTTATATTTAGATCTTTGACCCATTTCAATTTTGGTTTAGTACATGGTGAGAGATATGGGTCTAGGTTCAATATTTGGCATGTGGAAAGCCAGTTTTTCCAGCCCCATTTATTAAAGAGGCTATCTTTCTTCCGCTGAAGGTGTTTGGCCCCTTTGTTACGAATAAAGTAGCTGAATGGGCTTGGAGTTGTTTCTGCATCTTCTGTTCTGTTCCACTGATCTTTGATCTGTTCTGCAGGGTTCTATTTCCCAGTACCATGCTGTTTTTATTATGGTAGCTTTGTAGCATAACTTAAAAGCAGAGATTGTGATGCCACCTGCCCAGCTATCATCTTGTTTCCCAGTGTAACAAAATATTTGAACTAGTTATCTATAGACACTGCCCCCATTTTTTCTTACATTCTTTTTTGTTTGGTTTTGGTTGTTTTTGTTATTTGTTTTGTTTTTGAGGCAGGGTCTTTCTATGTAGCCTTGAACTCACTATTAGCCCAGGCTAATAATGATCCTCTTGGCTCAGCCTCCTAAGTGCTGAGATTACAGGCGTGTGCCACAACACCCAGCTCTTCTTCCATCCTTACACCCAGCTCTTCTTCCATCCTTACACTCACTCCAGCCTCGCTTTTGCACCCAGTACTAGCCCCAGCTGTATGAAAAGTGCACTTATCAGAGTCAGTGCTGACCTTGGCATAGTGAAAACCGGTGCTCAGTTCTCAGCTGTCATTTCATGAAGCGCATTAACCTCACTCCCTCCTCCTTGATTTGCTTTCTAGCTTCCAGAGAACTACATGACTCTGATTTCCCATAACTGCAGTGGTCTGTCCTTTTCTAGTCCCTCCAACCTCTTAACTTGTCAGGACAAGGCAGGCTTACTTAGTCTCTTGTCTTTTTTTATAGTGAAAAAAATTGTGAGTTTAGAATGAGCCAGATGGGTTGAGTTCAGATGATCCTAGTTTTGCTGCAGCACAAAGTATGCTAAGCAGGAGCCGGCTGACCACATCCCTTCCCTCCGTCAGGCCGGATCAGGAAATGCCCTTGGTCACCAGCGTCACAGACCTTCCACACAGCCTGTCTGAGCTGCTGCTTGTTGGCCTTGACATCCACAGTGAGCCCGAGTGTGTTGTCCCTTGTCTTCTTCATGGCTGACCCCATGGTCATGGAGACTGATGATGCCATAGTGGTCCAGTTTGTCTGTCCTGGGGGTGATTTTTCTGGGGTATTTGGGCAGCTTCCAGAGCTGCAATGGCTTGGGTAGCCTTGGGAGGGGCAGGAGCTTCCTTCTGCAGCAGGCGCCATCTTAGTCCCTGGTCTTCAGGCTCTTCTATACCTGTACTCACTACCTCAGTCATCTCACCCAGACTCTCAGTTTCAAAAGTGCTGTATGTACATGGACACCGTCTACTTTATATCTTGGTATGGGCATTTTAACCCCAAATAGCAGAATCATATATCACCACCTAGTCAGCATCTTCGCATGAACGCAGGGTAGACGTCTCAACTGTGACTCATCTGAAATTGGCCATCTGCCTTTGCCCATCTCGGGTCACAGCAGCATGATCCCTCCAGTCATTTGGGACACAACTTCAGGTACACCCTTGGCTCCTCTCCTGTCCCCAGGAAGTGCTGTTGCTCTGCTGTGAACCACCGCTATTACTAGCCTGCAGGCTGTGGTGGTGTTATGGTCGATACATTGTGTCAACTTGAGTAGTCTAGAGGTTTGGCTAAGTGACTCAGCAGGGAGCCAGGGCGCTTACTTTATAAACATCCTGAGCCTGTGGAAAAGGAGGGCATGGAGATTATGTGAGTGCTGCATGCTCCCTGGGTGGGCATAGCCTATTTACAATGTAAGAAAAGAAAAGAGGCTGCTTGCCGCCATATCCCCCCTTTGCTCTTGTTTGCTCTTTGCTATCTTCTGCCTCCGAGCCGGCCAAGTATGGACTAAAACCTCTACAAACTGTAAGCTAAATAAACTTTTCCTTCCTGCATTTTGGGTGTTGGGTATTTTGTCCCAACAACGAGAAAAAAGTAACTAAGACAGGTGGACTCTTCACTGGTCTCCCCGCTTCTCACCCTGCCCGCTGCCCTCTGCTCCCACACCACAGCCCACAGGATCCTTTAAAAATACCACTCAGCTGTTTCACACTATTCAAGATCTGTGCTGACTCCTGCCTCACCTCACACATGAAAATCCCTGCAGGGGTCCTGGAGCTCTGTGACCTCTGTGCCTCCTTCCCTCTTCCCGCCTCGCTAATCTCACCTCCCACTCCTTTCCAGCTCACTAGGTGGTTCATGGCTTCTCTCTCTCTCTCTCTCTCTCTCTCTCTCTCTCTCT